TGCAGGGTGCGGCACAGGACCCCCTGGGGACAAAGCCACCCTCAGACAGGGACAGGACACAGCCAGGCTGCACAGCACCCACCAGACCCACCGGGCTGCAGGGACCAACCCTAAACTTTCCAAACCTGCTTGCCCCAGCTGCAGGCAGGCCAAGCAGGGAAGACTGCTGAGCTTCGAGAATCAGTTTCCCTTGCACAACACCCATCAGCTCAGGCTGCTGCAGGGATGTTGCCAGCTTTTAGCCCCATTTAACGCTCTTAAGGATGAAAACATCACACAATAGATACTCCTTGCAAATGGTGCCAAGCAACAGGTCTGACAGGTCAAGAAGATACAGCAGCTGTTTTTCAGGGCACAAGCTGTGCCAGGAAGAGCAAAGCTACCCCACAGTGTGCCCAGCCCCCTTTGCCAGCAGCCCAAAGGCAGTCCCTCACTTACATCCTGGCTCCTCCAGACTTTGATGGTCCTGTCCTGGGAGGAGGAGTAGAGCAAGCCATCACCCCCCCACTTCACACAGGTCACCGACTGTGTGTGGCTTGTGAGGATTTTGTCACACCTGCCCATCAGCGTGTCCCAGATGCGGATGCTGCCATCCTTGGAGGCACTGGCCAGGTAACGGCACTCTGGGTTTCTGGGCAAAGAGATCAAATCCATTTGTGCTGCTCCCCTGAGCCCCAGAGGATTCAAGGGTCCAGCACGCAATAAAATGCAACTTTCTTTTGATTTAAGATCAGAGAGAGACCAGACAGGGGCAGAGCACTGACCTACAGGGAACAAGGTCTCACAAGGCAGGGGAGAGGCAGACAAATGCTTCCTCCAAACCAACTCCTGGGCTGCACAATGCAGAAATCAATCCAGGGTAAACTTGGCAGCTGAAGCCTTGGCAATGACCTTGCACAGCTTTAACCCACTGGCTATGGAGGTCACCACGAGGTCACCATGAACTGGCACCTTCCCTGAGCACAGACTGGAGAGAGCCCTGGGCAGGAGATCAGCCTCACGAAGGGAGCACAGATCCATGGCATTGGGAATGTGTTGGATGTTCCCCTGCTTCTGCCATGCTTCATGCCTGTGGACAGAGTGCTGTTGTGTTGACAGGGCTGAAAGGAACACTGTCCTTCCACATCCACTATTGCTCAGGGGGCAAACTGAACACATCTGGAAGCAGCTGGCCACAACCCAGCAAGGACAGGGCAGCCACAACCCTCTGTCCTTTGCACATCGTTATCACTCTGCATGGTGGCACCAGCAGTGAGGAAGAGCAAAGCCCCCCTGTTGCAGTGGAACTGGCTGAAGAAAGAGAACTGCAGTCCTGGCAGGGTCATGTCTCTCCTCCCCATTTCCTCATCTTCCTTACAATCATTTTTTTGCTAATCCAGTTAATTGTCTGCAAATAACTGGAGCTTCCTACTGGCAAATTCAATTTGCAGGGCTCTGCTCTGAAGGGGCCCTTTTTCTTTATTTTTTAATTTATTTCTGTAACATCTTGGATTAATGGCTACAACTGTCCCCTTCCACCCACCTCTCCCAGAGGGAGCTTTAGCTGATAGAAGGGATAAGGGGATTGTACAGTTAATCATCCCTGATGATAAACAAACAGGATGACAGAGGCCAGCAGGATCAGGAGAGCAGAAAGGCGTGCTCTGCCCTTGGACACCACCAGGCTTCCCTGCTCCCACCTCAGCACTGCTGGAGCAGCACATCAGTGTTTGTCCACAGGCAGGTGTGTCTTTTTCCCAGGGGAAAAGAGATACAGCCTGGCAGTGATTCCCCAGCAACTCACAGGGACTGTGAGCAGCAGCTGGGACTCCTGGCTCCCAGCTGCACACATTTTTCCCAGCTCACCTTGAGAGCTGCTCTACACAGGCTTTTTCCCATAACAGGAGAAAGGCAAACAGGAGCAATGCCCTTTAGGTCAGGCTGCTCTTTTCCATAGGAGCAAAGGGGAAGGGCTGAGCTGGCCCCTTCACTTACATGTGGAGTGGTTCCCAGCACAGGCATGTGATCCATTTGGAGTGGCCAGAGAGCACCCGGCCGATCTGGCTGCCAGTGGCTGGGTCCCAGAGAAAGATCTGTCCAAGAGAGGAAGCACGAGGGTCACATCAGGCCACAGACATCATGTGAATCCCAGAGACGTTGGAGCTCCATTTAGAAAGCAGAGGTGTCCTTGGGATCGTGTTTGCACTCGCAGGCAGCAGCAGGGGAAGGGGGCTGGATACCGTTCCAAATCCTTGCAGCAATCAGCTGACACCCAAAAGAACTAGACCTGATTGCCCTCCCATCTGCCTAAAACCTGCTGCTACAGTTATCTGACTCAACTCAAAAAAGCTACAGGTCCCCACAAAGCCACCCTGTGCCAGAGACTCAGGCAGTGTTTGCAGAGCACAGTGAAAGCCACAGCTAAACGCTGCTGATTATCGGATGCTGTGGGTGGGACACATGCTGGTTTTCTCTTGTTGATTCTCTCTCTACATAAATGTTCATCTTAAGAGCCAAGGCATTAGTCATCTCCTACTTAAGAACCTAGGAGAAACAGGGAAAAGGAGGACAAGCAGCTCTCTGGGTTCAATTAAAGGCAGACCAGCACCAAATCATGGCTGAACCACCCTGGCCCAGGACATTTCCTTGGGATTGGCATCACAACTCTGGCAGCTCTGTGAGTGCTGTCATTGCTCCCAAACCATTTCAAGGTCAGAAAGAGCAACGGCCCCTCAGCAGCTCAGCTCCCATTTAACCACATGCTCCTGCTTCCCCAGGCATTTCTGCACTTCAAGCACACGAATTTTGCCCCACAGCGAGGGCTGAACTCCTGTCACATTTGTGCAAGAGGGAATTTGGCCACGTCTGTGTGGGAGCATGATGACCAGGCTGCTGCTGCACGGCTGGATCACGCTAACAGCAGCCCTGACCTGTCCTCACTCCAGTCACTTCCCTCGTGATGGAGCCGCCACATCCAAAGCCTGGGCTCTTTCCTGGACAGAGGGAAAAGCGACTGCCACAAGACAGCAGGACTCAGCAGCAACAGATCCCCAGGGTGACAATGCCAGCGCACTGCTTGGCACTGAGATGCTTCTTGCACTACCGTGACACAGCCACACACAGAGTTCCTCTGGAGAAGAGGAATCCCGCTCAAAACAATGGGATACAGGCCTCACACCCCTGAAGAAACAAGAAACACCCCTAATCCCCTCCAGCCCCATGCTGAGGGAGCCCACGTGTACCTGGCTGTTCTTGCAGCCCGAGGCCAGTTTCTTGCCATCAGGTGACCAAGCAATGCTGAGCACCCAGTGCCGGTGACCTGGCAGAGAGAGCACGAGTGGGTGAGTGGAGAGCTGTGACTGTGACTGTCCCTGGTGTCCCAGCAGGAAGCCACTCTGTGCTCCTCCTGGCCAGCCCCACTTTGCCAAAGAGAGCTACTCCCTCCTCAGGCTGCGGTCCCAGCCTGGAGAGCTCAAACAGCACCAGGCTCTGCTCTGCCTGTCCCCCAGGCAGACAGGGGGTCCCTCCTGGCACAACCCAGCACCCACCTTTGGCCGTGAACTGCGGCGTTTCCGTGCTGAGGTCCCAGAAGCGGACAGTGGTGTCCCCAGAGCCGCTCGCCAGGTACCTGGGAGAGGAGGAACAGCTCAGCACAGTGTCCCCAGGACAGGACAAGGGCAGCTGCTGCCTTGCCCTCATCCCTGCATGCAGCCACACCCTCGTACTTTCCCGTGGGGCTAAAAGCTACGGAGATGACGGCCTCGGTGTGTCCCTCCAGGGAGCTGGTGCAGCGTGTCACGGCTCGCACCCTGAACACCGCCTGCGGCTGGTAGATGATGTCCAGGACCTTCTCCGTCTCCACGCTCTGCCCTGCCAGGGTCTTCTCCAGCGACGCCACGATCTCGGCATCGTGCACGAAGAAGGCCAGAGGCACCGGCTCATCCTGCGGGAGAAAGGGCAGGTGAGGTAGCGAGGGGCGGCGCCGGGTGCGGCTGGGGGCGCCGGGGAGTTGGGGAGGGGTCTCACCTTCTGTAGGAGGGCGTTGCACACCAGCTGCAGCTTGTCCGGAGTGATGGTGACCGGGACATCGAAGGGGGAGCCCAGGCACTCCCCTGCCTCATCGCGGAACTGGATCAGGAGCCGCTGCACATCCTCCTCGTCCGGCGGCATGTTCTGCGGGACAGCGGGCTCAGCTCAGCGCCGGGAATCCCACCGGGCAGCGGGCACAGCCCCTCACCCCGGCAGCGATACCCGCCGGGCGAGAAGGAACCTCCACTGGGGGACCCCGCGTAGGGCGAAACACCCCGCACTGAGCAGGAGCCGCGCGGGGGAACCCCAGGAGATGGCGAGAAGATCCCGGAGCGCCGCCGCACTCCCACCCCTGCAGCTTCCAGGTGCCGCCAATCCCGGTCCCGGTCCCGCTCCCGGTCCCGCTCACCGCGGCCATGTGCGCGCGTTCCCCCCGTGCGCCGGAAGCGGGCGGGGAGCGCCCGGGCGCGGCGCCGCTGCCCCCTGGCGGCCGGCGGTGAGCGCCGCGCTCGCCCCGGGGCCGCGGGTTCGAGGCCGCGCAGGGACAACTCCCGCGGGCCTCCCTCGGGAGGTGATGCCAAGCGACTCGAGACGGGCCGAGCTCTCACACACAGCGCGGCCCAAAGGTTAAGGAAATGCAGCCCTGAGCAATATCCATACCCAAATCTGGGAGCTGTAATACCTGAATATGCCCAGGATTAGTCGGGATCCTGCCCAAGGGGGAAACTGAGGCAGGAGTGCACTAAAATAGGCAGTTTAGTGTGGTTCAATACTTCAGGACTATTCCCTGCCCCTTTCCACCTTTTCCAGCCCAACTTCTGTCATGTCCTGTGACTGAACAACTTATTTACTATTTAAATAAGAATTAATCTTATTCACTACACTGCCATTAACATAATCCATTGAGAAACATAGGCAAAATTACCCCTAAAACTCACATAAAAAAACCCATCCCATGTAACTTCAAACCCCATGAAAACAGAAAATCAACACAAATTTTAATATTTATATATTTTAAATCAAAACACAATTAAATAGAGTAGTTTTTAAGTACATGAATGCTTGGGTATGAGAGAAATAAGAAGTGGTACATAGTACCAAAAACCTATACACAGCCTTTTTTGCTTTTTCATAACAATACAGTGTGTCTCTATACAATCAAATATTGCAACAGAATAACACTTTCTAGTCAATCAAGATATTCTGAACATTGGAAATGATTTGAGTTCTTCGCATAGTGATTTCTTTGCACACGTTTGAGGAAAAAAGCAATCATTAGAGTAAAAAAAAAAAAAAGACCCAAAATAAAAGTGTTGTATACTAAAAATGCAGCAGTAACAAGGGTGAGACACTGAGTACTTCTGCTACCCTGCAAAATCGATTTGCTGGGGGAAAAAAAAGGTGCTGTGTAACATGGTAAGTGTTGACAGTGTCAGGAAGGCGGCCAGAGGTCATTAAAAACTGTTTTTCTTTGTAAACCAAACATCTGGAGTTAGAGCCTACATTGGGTGGAGGACAACAAGCGATGGAGAATGGCAGCAATTCCTTTTTTCCTTGCTCGTGGGATGGTGAGGACAGGACGTGGAGCAGTCTGCAGGGTCCAAGGTGGGAGCAGAGGGGCTGCAGGACCAGCCTTGGATCTGCCCCGTGGTGGAAGCAGGGGAGGTGTGTGTGTGTGTGCAGGTGTAGGAGCTCGACAAGGAGGAGTTCCTGACCCTTCTAGAATGCCTTCAAAGTTAATGCAGTTATGAAGTAAAATACATTTATTTTACAGTTGAATACTCATCTATTTCAAGTAACGGAAAATTAAACTTAGAACTTTCCAGGTCATTCACTGCCAACGGATTTGCCCCACAGCCCTTCCAATTCTGTGTTTAAAAATTACAAGCAGTAGAACCAGAAACTACAGCAAAACCTTCCCCTCTGTTGTGGCCTCTGTGTCCCATTACAGATATTTTGCTTGACTTTTTTTTTTTGAGACAGGGTCAAGTATTTGTGAAATCAATCACAGTTTCTCAGTGACACATTTGTAAACTGCATCTTCATCTTGGAACCATCATTACTGTGAATGCCACATACACCAGGGAAAAGTGTTTCTTCACTCTCTACAGTGGAGGTCCAGGATTGCTTCTTTTTCATTCTTCCTTAGAAATGAGGGGGATTCCAGCTGTTGAAGTAACAGTGCTTTGTTTTTATTGGCTGTGTTAAAGAATCCACCAATAGGGAAAGTTCACTCATTCTCAAAGTGGAAAACCAGATTTCCTGTCCTGGAGTTTCTAAAATCATACCTGGAAAAGGGAAAAACAGTTCATTTTACCCTAAAACATGCAAGGTAATTGTTCATTAGAAAGACATTTTGTGTTTAAAAACATTGAAGCTGGGTTTGTTTGAGTTTGGGAAAGAAAAAAAGCCTCAAACCTAATCCAAACACACTCAACCTTTTGATTACTTGCTTAATTGAATCCAGAGCATCTGCAGTCATTTGAGATTTCTATATACTGTGCTGAGTGACTTTCATCCAGGCAGACTGAAATTTTATCATTTGCAGCCAAGCTATTAAGTGAAGTCATTATACAAGTAATTTAAATGTTACTGCTCTATTAGAAAGAAAACACTCCCACAGTGAAACTATGGATCCACCCAACTGGATCCAAAAATCTGGGCTTTGGCACATGTTTACTTTCACTAACCTAACATAATGCAAGTTCATTTTTCAAAATTCACATGCCTGAAAGTCAGAAGTACCAGACATTAACTTGGTAACCTGCTGTCACCAATATTTCACAAAATCCAACTACCGCCTCAGAACTGGGGTTTTTTAGACAGAGAACACATGGGCTGTAGAACACCACAGCCACTAAGCAACAATACACAAACCTGTGGACAGGGTTACTGTGTCTTTTCCAAGTCTGGAGGCAGAACTGTGTAAATGAGAGCACCCAATGAGACAAATTCACAGCTGCTGAGTTTTACTGAACTTCAAACAGAAATACCACTACTGACTAAGAGGAAACAGCAAGTGTGAGCTCAAGTCAGGAACTACACTTCATCCTGCAGCACAGATCACCCTTTTAACTAATTAGGCAGTTTGTAGACTCAAATTAAGACAAGTTTAATGCTTGTACAGGAGAACCACCACAGACATCTGTTAAGAAATTCTTACATCACACATAGGCCGAAACACTTCCAACCTTTGTTTCTTCCTCTCACGCTCTGCTGGTTTGAACAGTTACCAGCGTGGGTTTCAGCCACGGGAGGAAGGCAAGTGAGAGCTCTGCTCCTCCCACAGCCTGGCTGAAGCCAGATGAAGACAGCAGCTTTTCCACCCCCCTACCTTGCTGACCTTCTCCAAAGGCTGCTCACACTGCGCCTGCTGCATGACGTCGTTGACAATCATCTTTGCTATCCTCCAAGCCATCTCTTCTTGAGCCTGAAAAACACAGCCCAAAACACAGATAGCTTCAGGTTCTTAAAAGAAAAACAGTGCTCTCAGCACAGCCTTGGAGTCAGGGTAACCTTCACAACTCCATAACCTGTATAAACATATCCTCCCTCCATGGAAATGCAGCCGGCTTCCAAGTACAGTGTTAATTTCAATTACTGTACTTAATGCTTGATGCAATTCCCAAGAGAGTTAGTGGAGATTTTAGATTTATCTCTTGGGGATTTGTCCAAGCCCCTCAGAGGGGGAAAAATGCATCCTGGAATCCATGTGCAGTGGTCACTTCACCATAAAAATCAAACAGCACTTCCACCCCTACTTATAGCTATATAAAACCACAATAAGAAAAACCCTGACTGCAAGCACACACTTAATTAGTTCAACCATAAAGCACTGGCAAAGAGCAAACTAGTTTCACACATACATGCAATCAAATTATATTTAGCACACACTCTCCCTGTTCTTGGTGCAGCAAAAAGATACTCAGAGATAACAGCCAGGATTAAGAACATCAATACTTTATTTCTCTGAAGTGTAAAGTCACAAGGAGAACATGAAAGAGGACACACCTCATCTGTATTTCCTTGAACCCATTTCTTCATTGCTTGTGAAAACATGGACCCTGGTTGAGATAAAAACAGCAAGCAAGGTATGTCAGCAAAGTGAGGTAGAAAGCTGATTCCTGTCACCCTTGTGAAGCGTTTGCTCTGCTGGCATGCAGGACACAGAGGAGAGGCAGGAAAGACAAGGGACATTTGGACACTGAGTCTTTCCCAGAGCTGAACAGCAGCAGCAGCAGCAGGTCCCAGCCTGGCTGGGAAGCGTGTGGAGAGCTGCAGTTCTCTTTCATCTCAAGACCAAAGCTTGGAAGGTTTGATCACCAGCTCAGCTGCTGACGCTTCCATCCCTGCCAGGTTCCATCGACAGCTCCAACTCCCACCGGCTGTTCCTGCTCCCCGGAGTCCAGCTGGACCAGAAAAGCAGAATTTGGTAGGAAACTGGGCCAGAGATGGGTTTTGCCTCAGTACAGACCAATCCCTACAGCATCTCTGTTTGGCTTAAAACAGATCTGGAAAGAGTCAAACACTTTGCCTATCTTAACTCCAGCAGGGAAGAGAGCAGCTCTGCAGGTGTTTACAGAACTGGAGACAAAGAGCAAAGCAAACCTTTTGATTTTTTGACATCAGGCTCTGGTTCAGATTCTCTGATGAACTGGCCCAGGTCACTGACTCTTCCAAATGTCATCTTCCTGAGGAGAGAAGTGAAGAACCACATGGGTGATCCAAAGAACTTTGGCATTATGGCAAGCTATATTTGGCTATATACTTGGCTACATTTTGAAATCAAAGAAGAACAATAATTAAGAGGAAGAGAAAAACCAATTAGAAATATTTTCCTGCCTGCCATTTTGGTCAAAGAAACACTCACTGGGTGTTAAATCACTATTGAAATAAAGTTACTGTCAAATATTACAACATGGACTAAGATCTTGCATATAGGCCTACTCTCCATGCAGGAGGACACAGCAAAAATGAAACAGAGGTGAAACATGTAACCAGAAAGGAAACAAAACACTGAAATGAACCTTACCCTGCATATGTTCGTTGATACAAAGATTCTGGATCCAGACTTGCAGCATCTACAATTATTGCTTCATCAAAATTTTTCAGGATTTTAACATTAGCCTTTTTGACATTGGACTACAAATAAAAATTCTAAGTATTAGTGCCCAATGCAGATAACTACCAGCTTCTTAACAAAACTGCAATTTTAGTGCTTTTAACACAGATAAACCTCCATCAAGTCCCTAAGCAAGAGTATAAAAGAATCAGTGTGTCTAGACAGCCTTGAATTCCCAACTCACAGGAATTGTTTTTAGCAGAGGATGATAAAATTCTGTGGACAGGGCCAAAGACACAAAGCCCATGTCAGCACACGCTGCTGCCTGAGCTTTATCAGCTCAACAGATCCGTGTGTGCTCACAAATCATTTGTTGTGAGTCTGGAACATCCCTCTCCCGCCCTTGGTAAGCAATTCCCAAACACAGATGCCTCCCCCGTGCACAGAGAACAAATTATTTATCTTCTGGCCTGGAGTATTTATATAAGATTATGAAAAAGAAGCCAAGGAAACATCAGAGCAACAGCAGGGAGGGCACAACACGCAGCAATCCATTATCACCTCAGCACAGAACAGCAACACCAATGGCAGCTCCTTTCCTGCTGCTCTTTATGCAAAAACATGCAGAGACCCAGAGATTCTCCTAGTCAGACAAGCAGGAATGCACACCACAGAAAGCAGCACCTCATTTCCTAAATTGCCCAGCCAATTACCAGCAGTTCCTCCTGCTCGGAGGATCAAGCAGCAGGAGGCATCAAGAACACAGATTTTATTCCCCACTTTGCAGCTAGGGGAGGAATATTCCCTCCTTGCAAATTAGGAGGTTTAAAATAGTACACAAGCAGGTGGTATAGATTCCAAGTTGCTGGAAAGCCAGGACATGAGTAACAGTGGTGTGGATACTGGGTTTGAAGCTCAGGGTAGCCCTGCAGAGTTCAATAAAAGCAGCAGTCACTTGGCTCTTCTGCTCTCAGCTGGGCTGGCAGTTTCCAGGCTGTCCTGTACAGGTTAGCCAGAATCTGCTCTGTGTTTGAGCAGATTGATGCCTTCAGCCCTGGAAATGAGTTTACTCTTCAGGACAGAAGATCTGGCACTTTAAAAGAACTGAGCACACAAAACTAGCGTGTTTATACTTTAATCTGACAGCACATTCACAAGTATCAATTTTTACCTGAAGTTGTAACAATGGTATTGACAAAATAATGTTATTTCTAGTAACAAGTATTCTTAGATATTATGGCATCATGAAAAAGTCCTCAGTAAAGTAGCAACTTAATAAAGACGTCACTGATGTAAGGAAATAACAGAAGCACAAGGCTTTGGGTACAACAAGTAGCAGAGACACTTCTGACAGAACTGAGCTGCAGGTAGATTAAACACATCCTAACAAAACACAGGCTTTAAATGGAAGTGGAATGGTGTTTCCTTACAGGGTGAAAAACTGGATATTGACACAGAAAACCCAATCTGATACCTGGGAGGCAGAGCCATCCGTGCTCCCTATGGAATCACTGTCAGGAGAGCTACCAGGGCCATGAATACTCAGTGCAATGCTCCCTCCTGGGAATTCATCCCCTCGTACTGAATGGATGAGGTCATTCAAGTATTTGTAGTAAAGGTTGCTGGACAAGAAACCAGGTAGGAAAACCTGAGAGACAGAAAAAGTCCTCTTTAATCAAGGCTGGTCTGCATAGTCAGAGAAGAGCACACAAACATCTCAGTCCTTGTGTAGATGGAACACAAGTAAAAGCATCCATGCATGGAATTACTGTGGATTAGCAACTGCACTGCTGTAAGTTTTAATCCTACTGCAAAATTGAACAAACCCAACTGCCTATTAATGAAATCCCCCTAATAACTGGAACTGAAGTTCAGGGGAGTTTTTTTCCCCTCTTAAAAACTTAAGCTTGACAGCCCAACACGCTTTACAGTTATTCTGTTTCACTGTGCACAATTTTCTGCAGCTCCAGAATCAAATAATTCATTTCTGCTATCTGGGTATTCCAGAGTTACATTATTAACCACAGCACTTGTATTAGACTTGCAAACAACTCCTACTAAGAGGAAGTAAAATTTTCTAAAGATACAAAATAAGCTGTTGATAGCAATTCACATGGGAGGAAATTCTGTTACTTCCATTAAACTGCAATAATCACTCGAGACAAACATTTCACAGAGCATTAACAGCAGCCAGTGGATGGTATCTTCAAATCAGGCTGGGGCAAGGAGTCTGGCAGATTTTCCTGGATCTCTTCTATAATCCAGGTAAACAGGAAGGCAGTAAAGGAACAGGAGAAATCAGGGCACGCTGTGGAACGCCCCCTTCACCCTCACTAAGTGTGAACCCCACTCTGAAGAAGGGTCTCACCGTCTCCATGGTTGTCCATGCCTGCCTTAAGGGAGTGGTGAAGCAGTTGGGGAGAGGCCCCCCCTCCCTGCAGATGTTGGATTCAATCTCCAGCCTCACAGAGTCATCAAAGCCCAGAGGGTGCGTGGCCTGCAGGGAGAAGTACCTGGGGCAGGGCAAGGAAACAACACAGACAGGATTTGCAAACCTCTGCAGGTGCTCAGTGCCCACCTGTCCCCCAGACACTGCACACACCTGTCCCCACTGACTACAGGTAACACACCCCCTCCCAGAAGAGTCTGAGAGCCCTGCCCTGAAACACAGATGAAAAACAGAGAGTGGGAAACAAGGATGGAGCAGGAAACACCCAGAACTCCAAAGGAGTTTTGGCTCGGCTGCTCACATCCTTGCAAACTGAGTTTAAGCATGGGGAATGATTGATGAACCTGAGTGAAGCATTTGCTTCCTCCTTGGGTAATAAGTGAAGTTGTGGTGGAGCCTCACACTTAGGCTTAAGAACAAACATTTCCTGGAAGCAGTTGTGCTGTCTGTCTCCCAGCTGTCTTATTGCTAAAGTAAAACACAAAATATAGGAAGAAAGTTCCTCTCTGACTGCTTCCTTTAAAAAAGGAAATATTTCACAATACTAAGAACAAGCACTAGCTGGCTTTTATGACATGTGAGAAGAGTTTCTACAGCCTACTTTATATAACAATATCTGACCATTAAGGTTTTTCTGCAGTGCTGTATTTGTTATTAGGCTTAAACCCCTTCCATTTTCAAATGTCAACCAATCAGCTTTGATACTTCCCAACCAAACAAAATCAAGCAATCAAGTCCTGAGAATGATTAAGAATGGAATTCTTGTAAGGATTTCTCCTCATGTATACAAAAAAATTGCAGTTCATGTATGCAAACACATCAAAAGGAACCTTGATAAAATGCACCTCAGCAGAACAGCCCAAGAGTGCAGAGAAGTTCCTTTTTGCACAGCAAACACAAAACCACAAGTACAGAAACAAAGGACTGTTGAACTCCCTCACTTGTCATACAAAATCATGGCATCGTTCTGTGCTTCTTGCCCATCATACTGGCCTTCTTTGGCAGCCAGCTGAGACTGGAAGTTATCTGCTGCCAACCAGAACTGCAATACATTAACTGCATCTTCCTTCTCCATGTACTGGAAGGGAAATCAGAAAAAGAGGAGATTAAAGAAGGTTTAGCAAGAATCTTTTAATATTTTTTTTAACTTTCTTCTTCCCATTTAGAACAAGAAACATAGGCCACGTAATAGTGATGCAAAATTGTCACCAAGACAGAGTATTTTGAATTTCTGTTTCAAACAGATTTAACTTGCTTGGAGGGGAAAAAAAAAAAGACAAAGAAAAAGAGAACTTCTGACATTTCTTTTCTGTACTTATTTTCACACTTAGTTTCCAAAAAACTATTTGTCTTGTCCTAGGACAGGAAACACCATTTTCATGCTACATTTAGCTTCCACTGAGCTCAGCACATTGTCTCAGCTTCCCAAGCTACAGTTTCAAACTACATCAGCTCATCAGACTGTCAGGACAAATATGTCAAGAGCTGATTCCTTAAAGGTGCACGAGCCTGAAACTGAAATCTTTTATTTAACCTATCACATCACTAAAGGTGCCCTCTCCACATAGCACTGGTTATGATTTGTTGTCTGTAATTTAGGCTTTTACAGTCGCTACAATGTGAAGATCAAGATGACAATGTCAAAGCTTCTACAAAGCAAAGAGACTCTGAGAAGCACTCACTGACTGGAGAGGAAATCTCAAATACTCATTCCACAGTACAATGGACAGGTCTGAACACTTGAATTAGTTCTACATGGGGGCAGGAAAAAGTTCAATGCATTTTCTCTCAGAAAAAATGCACCTTGGGTTTTTTATTATATTTAGAATCATAGAATTACAGAATTGTTTGGGTGGAATGGGACCTTAAAAATGATCCAGTTCCAACCCCCTGCCATGGGCAGGGGCACCTTCCACAATCCCAGGCTGCTCCAAGCCCCATCCAACCTGGCCTTGGGCACTTCCAGGGATCCAGGGGCAGCCACAGCTGCTCTGGACACCCTGTGCCAGGGCCTCACTGCCCTCCCAGGGAACAATTCCTACCCAATATCCAACCCAAAGCCATCAAGCAATGAACAGATTTTTTTCATCTGCTAGAAAGGGATCTAAAAGCAAACCCAAACGTTGCCACTCACCTCAGAGAAGTAGAAGAGGGCTGACTCACAGAACAGAATGTCAGCCAGATACACAGTCCCACTGGTCAGCACCTCAATCTGGTATTTACAGAAATGGTGACTCCGCAAGAACTCGCTAAAGTGCCTGCACAGAGACAGGGACAATCACTTATCAGGGTCAGCAGCACCCAAGGCACCCTCAGAACCCACCAGCTCTTGCCCAGAACTCTGATACTTTTGGGTGGATAAAAGCAAAACAAGCAAGAAACAGGGCAGGTTTGGAAATGGCACAAGAAAAAGATAAGGAACACAAAAGTGTGAACAGCCAAGATCAGCAAGAATGGATTTGGAGGAGGGGATTGAGCAGTTTCAAATACACAAGACAGCACAGAAAGGTGCTGATATGGTCATGCCTCCATAAACATTTTTAACAGAACCTTCAGGACAAGAGACACAAGAACCCAAACCATGGCATCAACTTACTCTTGTTCCATTGCATGGAACACTATGGACTGTGCTGTAACAAAGCAGTTGGGATCCACTTGGCCATCCTCCCCACAGATCTTTGCTGCAAAGAAAGAGCAGGTTAATTTTAACATGGATTTGGCTGATGGAGCTGAAAGGCATGAGCAAGGACTGGTTAATGAAAAATTGCAGTTCAAATCCACCAGAATCAGCTGGTTCTGACTGAGCAAAGATCTTTCAAAGCTGGCCAAATAATAATAACATGGCTAAAGGATTTGATTGAGACTCATATCAGGATCCCCTCCGTAACCCCAAGAACTCTTTCCCTAATTTCAACAAAATCTCTGAAAGTTTTTATCAGGATATTCACAGCACTGCTGAAGGTCAGATCCACTGAAACTTGTAATCTATCTTTTTAAGGCTGCCTTTAGAATTCATAAAAATAAAGATAAATGCAAATGTGTGCTGTATTAGAGACACATCTTTATGGGGACAGAGCAGCTCTGAGATGAGGAAGCAGTTATTCATTCTTACCAACTATGTCATTTCTCATTGCTTCTGTAATAGGGATTGGTTTAGCAGCATCTGGAGAAATATATTTGGTAAAAGTACTAACTGCATCCCGTTCTATACCTGCAGGGAAGAAACACAGAATCAAACTTGGAATTCCTTGCCCTGATTGAGTAACAAATGTTTGCTCTTCAGAAAAGCAGCTGTCTAATTCTCAGTGATGTTTCCACTTCAGGATATTCATATTCTGCTCCTGACCAACTGACTGTGTGATCTCCAGTCAGGTCACAACAAACCCAGCATGGACTAAGATGGAATAAGACAACATAGCTCCAAATTTTCCCTACCAGCACACAAGGCAGAACCCACTTCCTCAGCTGCACACCATAATCTCAGTAGCAACAGCTTTCAAAATTCCCAATTTTTAGCTCTCACCACAGAGAAATCACTTGCATTATATAGGAATTACTAGGGGAAACAAATCTTAAAATGATATGACTCAAGTTGTGTTCTTTACACATCATCTTTTGAGACCTGTGACTCTGCTCTGGAAGAGAGAAAAAAATACACTCAAATTCTTTTTCAATTTCTCAATAAGGGCACTGTGTTTTCAAATTCTTTTTAGACAACAGAAAGCAGAGGTGCTTTGGTAATTAAAATATCATTTTCCTTGTTTAAGTGACTTTGGGGCTGAGGTTATGTATTGTGAATGCACATGATAAATAACTACATGAGAAAGACAAACAGCAAGAGAAAGGGATGCAACACGAGGAAACAGTTGGGCAAACAAAAGGAACCAATGTGAAGAAAGAAGTGTTTCCTTTGTGCCTGCAGACTTGCACAAATGAGGGAGGACTGAGTAGATGCAAAGTAGAGAAACATGTTACTGTGCATGTAGCTCACTACCAAAAGGAAATATTTTAATTTCATCCTTACTTCCAGCAGCCTCTGAAGAGGTGGGATCCAAATGACAACAAATCAGTTACAAGGGGAGGAACTCTATCAAATAAATCCAAGAACAGAAACAGTACATTCCACACATAAATCTCCACAAGTCTCTTGCAACCACTTCTTATGTCATTTTATGTAATACAGGATATTTATCTTCCATGACAAGTTAATTACCAATTCCCAGCCCCACCATCCAAACTTTCTGCAATTCTTTTAAGGTGGGATGGGACAGGTGAGGGAAGAACTGGGCATAGCAATATTCACTCACTTTCTAATGATCACACATGGAAGAACAGAAGCAACCTAAGCTCATTGAGTACACAATGATTTTGAAGTCTCTTCAGCAGCTTTTTTATTTTTAAACAAGTCAAGCAATACACAGCTCAAACTGCCCAGCAGCAAGTTAACATCGGTGATAGATAAAACTTTCTTCCTCACAACACCACATCAGGCTTGCTAAGAGCCTGAGAACTGAGGCACTCCCTGCACAAAACCGTTCATTTCCCACCTTCTCAAGCAAAGGGAACACACAGCACTTACTTTTCATGAGTTTTCCTGACAAGTCCTTTAGTGCAGAGGAGGGGCTGTTTCTGTTCGATACGGAAAGCTTGGCAGACTCCTGCTGCTCGGCTGGAGGAGCGCGAGTCCCCGCGTGCGGATTCCCGGGAGGCGGCGCGGTGCCGCGGCTGGCCCGGCCCGGCAGCGCCGCGCGGTTCTGGCTGCCGGCAGTTCCGCCGGGCTGGGGCCGGAGCTCCAGCCTCTCCTCCAGCCAGCCAGCGGGAGGAGAGGAGGCCAGCTCCTGCTCTTTGCAGGGGGACACCGGCTCCGCCAGCGAGCTCTGCTTCACCGTGTTCAGGCTGTGCGCGCGGATGCGGGACCAGGTGGTGGAGTGGAAGCTCTCGGCCTCTAACCAGAATTTCACCAAGTGCTCCATCCTGCGCAGCTCCATGAACTGGATGAAGTAAGGGAGGGCTACGCTGTCCTGCAGGACTTGTTCAAGGGTCTTGGAAAGGCTTGATTTGGTCTCTTGAGCCTGGTAGTTCAGACACGATCTGCCTAAAGGAAAACACGAAAGGGAGTGAGTCCGTATTGTACCACAGATGCGGGGGTTGGACACAAAAGTGTCCTGGAATGCAACTGGGAAGAGGCAATTCCGACACAATGACAAAGTAAAGCAATTGTGTTTCCTCTTCAAATCCCTCCCAGGGTAACACAGATGCTACTGTAACAGCAGCTATGCTTTTATAACCAATTTCTTTACTTGAAAACCAAGGGATGGTGCGTGCACCAGGAATACACAGAATAAAAAGAGAAGCTGACATTACCTAAGTCTCCAAAGTGAGCAGCTTCCATGTGACTCGGCTGCTTCTTGAGGGCAGCTGTGCGGCTGCTGGAGAAGGAGTCCATGTTGGCAGAGATGGCATTGATGGCCACATGGCTTGGTCCTGCAGCCTCCAGCAAGGCATGATTCCTAGTGCTTCTCTGAGGGGAATGTACTGGGACTGGAGCTGCAACCAAGACAGGAATGGTTAAAGCACAAGGACCCCAAGACCTCTTCTAAACATTGCCCAGTGCTAAGCACCCCAAAATACACCAGGGAGTTTGCAAGAGGCAGCCTCATTAACACCTCACTGTACCCTGGGTGTCATCTTTGATCAAGGGTCTGTTTAAAGACCACAAGTTTTATTATTGCAAGAATAAAGTCACTCCCACCCACCTCTATTTTCCTTATTCAGCAGCAATTCAAGAGATGCCACGTCTAAGTTTACACATGAAATGAGTCTTCCTGCTTCCTTGATAACTACTGTAACAACTTTATACTCTGTCAACAGTTTAGTTTCGTTCCAATGCTCCTGCCAATCCATTTCCATGCATTTTTGAAAGCTAAAATGTGATAAAAAAATCCTGAACCACAAAGCTATCTGTGAGGTCTAATAGGAGTTATTTCTCAAAAATATTTTTGTTGCTTCTGTTTGGTTGCTAGAGAAAAAAAAAAAGCAATAAGGAAATACCTGTGATGAAACAAAGGTTATAAACTTAACCCCCTCTGGCTGTTTTAGGACACAAGTGGCCCAAAAAGAACAAACAAGAACTTCCTCACACAAAACTGAGCTAATTGTTAATTGATGACAAAGCTGAAAAAAACCCCAAACATGCTCACAGCAGATTCCAAAGCTCTCAGGAAGCTGTGTTAGATCAGGATGTCATGCAGGGACATCTTACACCTCTGACTCAAAAATAAAGTACATCAGGCGAGCTGATTATCTCAACACTTCCAGAGATGTGTTCCATCACGGTGTCAGGCAACTTGGGCTTCATGACTTCCATGCTGCATCACTTTATTTGTATTCCCAATTTTATGACAGCAGTTGACAATTTCACACTTAGATGTCACAGACACCTCAGGAGCAATGGAAACATTTAAATTACTGCCAAGTGTTTGTGCAGCTGCAGGATTGGACACCAAGACACCACTTGCTGCTTCTTACAAAGCCTCTGGGTGTTTCATACCAGCAGTAATGGAGAAAATACCTTTTTTTCAAGGCCAAGGGATGGCAGCAGTGGGAAAATTTGGTGGAGATCACTTGTGTAGAGCCAGAGCCACACTCCTCATAATGCTACAGGCTTTTGTCAATTAGATTTAAATTTAATTTTATATTTTGGACATTTGAGAAAAAAATGTTCTGCTCTCTCCAAGGGTCAAACAAAGGTGCTCTCTGCTGCAGCGGCTCACAACATGCAATACTATAAATTTTCAAGTTTATTTTTATTTTCAGGGTCACCATACTGATAGTTGCACTGAAAGGTGAGGTGTGGCTATGAAATGGATGTAACTCACTGTTTCCTGCATTTGATTTGAAAGACAGACCACCAAGAAAAACACCTGCAATCTTCTCCTGATGTGCAGATAACACATTACCCAGTACAGAAACAAGATTTTGTCTGAGGGTATGAAAGTAACAGATCAGATTCTGGCATTTCCCTCATCTCCTTTCAGTACTGCAAGAAAATCTGACAGGATCAGCAAACTTGTTTTCCTGCAGTTTATAAATCTCTTCTCCACCACGATCTTTTCTCCTTTCCTATGAGATTTAGCAGCAAGATTTCTGCACCCCACAGAGCAGCAAGGAATGGCTCATCCAGGATTTGGATCTTCAGCCTCACAAGGCCCATCCAAATTAAATCTGCAGCTTCTTCTGCAAATCAGACACAGTGAGGCTGCACTTTCCAAACTCCAAAGGACACTGCAGCTGAGGAAGAAACTCCAGGAGCAGTTTGCTGTGGATGGGAACAACCACCACGTGCAAGGTGACCAGAGTGCCTGATGGCTTTGAATTAAAGCTCACGCCTGACATAGCTTAACAACCTCCTGCACCTACAGATTCAGCAAGAGGAGGAGGAAAGATGAGTTACCATAAATACCCAGAAACAGAATTAAATTCTGGGTTTGACGCACAGGTCAGATCTGTGCTCAGGAGTAAGGAATGATCCTGTTGGGTAAGATAAAAATGGTAAATGATGGCAGAGATCTGAATTTACAGACAAAAGTTTGATCTTACTTTTAATTGCTTTCACATCTGTGGTCTTTTCTTGTTCTTTGCCTTTCACTGTAAAAATACAAGGGAAAATGTTAATGCTATTTTGGGTCAATAATGGCATTTACCTGAGAATGGACATAGAATTCCCAACATCAGCAAGTATCAGAGGCAGATAGAAACTCTAATTTTCTTAATACCCATTTCTCATTTAAATTGCACATCCAGTAACTGACAGAGGCTTTCAAAGCTTTTCTGTTGACTTACTTTCAAAAGCAAAACCCATCCATTAATTAAGTTTCATGAAATACAGTCTGTTACATTTCCATGGAGGAAGATGATTGCTGTCAGTAGATTAAAGCTACATTCAGGGTGACTTTAACAAACAGCATGAACTGGGAAGTAGGGAAGAACTGGGAAGTAGGGAAGATGTGTTTTAAGTGTAGAGCACTGGCAGGTGCTGTCTGTGAACCAAAAATCACCTGAAAACAACATTTCCCTTGTGTTACAGGAAGAGCAGCACAACACCCAACACTGAGGAGATGTGGGCTGGCTCTGGCTCCATGGAGCTGCTTCCATGCCATGATGGGTACCACAGAAATGCTCTGGAAACTCCCTGCAGACAGTTAATTCTCTTACAAATGGTCTTGCTTAATCATCATGAAAGCCCGGGTGAGCAACTGATGGGGAGATAACAGTGCAAAAAGTTATGATGGAAAAGTGCTTTGAGGATTTATTTTTAAAAAAATATTAGTATTTTTTAAAGGAAGCTCCTAAAGGAATTGAAGAAGGAGATCTATTCAAAACAAAAATAAAGAAGCCCAAGCAGCACACAAACAGGATGGCAGAGAAACAAATGCAGGGGGGATACTGGAGAATGTGATCTACCAGAGAAGCTGCTCCAGGCAAAGATTATTACTACAAATAGGTCATCCCTGAACACCCACTGAGGAGCCCTTCCTCAGTGCACAGCCCAGCACAATCCCACATTTACATCACAAAACACATCCAAAACACCACCCCAAGCGAAGCCTTCCTATCCCCACCTAAGGATGTTAAATATTTTACAGGAGAGCTCCGGTTACATAACTGCCCTGGCCCGGTGGCTGCAGCGCTGCCTGCCAGCCTCCCCGGCGAGCACAAACGCTGCAGGGCTGCAAATCTGCAACTCGGGGTCGAAAATTGCAGCTGCCAGGGAGCTCACTGTGTGACAGAGGGGTTGAAGTGTGCATTACAAGAGGAGGATTCCCTCCACGCTGACCTGCAGCCCGATGCAGCACGAGGGAAACCAGCCTTTACATAACTGGAGCTGATGGTCAGGAGAGAAACCAGAGGGAAGCAAGCAACCTCTATGAACTCTCATCCTTCCCAAATCACTCCAGTATTTCATCAAACCGGTTCCTAGCTATCAGCAGCAAGTCCTGGGTTTCACACAACAGCCCTCCATAAGCCTATTTTCAGTTTAAATACCTCTGTTCCTTCTTTCCTCCCTAAATACCTACTTACTACTGGAAATACAAACTCCAGGGTCGTGTCCCAACCCTTTCCACACAGGCTGCTCCTGTCCCCAGCAGCTCTGAGCACGACCAGGTGCCATCAGTAACAGGAGGGGACAAAATCAGCTCTGATCCAGGACAAGCCTGAATTTCAGAGAGTGAAGATGCACCACATGAACTCACTTTCACTTCCCCCAAAAAGCGGATGCTGTGCGGTGCCTGTGTGAAACCAGAAGGAACCACAGAATGGGGACTGAGGGAGAGATTTCCAGTGGCCAATCCCCTTCCAAAGGGTGCCAAAGCAGCACATGACATTCCAGAGTTGCAATTCACATCCCGAAATGCTCTCAACAAACTCAAAAAGTGTTCACAGTGTGTCAACAGCACACAGAAAACAACGAGATCCTGCTGAGGTCAGCCAGGCTGTGGGACTGCACGTTATTCCCAAGATATCCCAGGGATGAGCTGGTCCACTGGCAGCAGTTTCATAACTGCCCTCAAGCGCCCAGCTCACCTGTTATACTTTGATTTCTCAACCCATTATCCACCCTCAGTCTGCCAGACCTTTATTTTGAGGCCCAAGCTATAAAAACACTTCACCCTGATATTTGATTTTTCTACAAGCTTTATGATCCTTGCTATGGTTTAATTTAAAATTAGTCTTAATTTCTACCCACTGCAATATCCTCTTAAACAACCACAGCTCACCCCAGGAACATTGGTGTTTGTAGGATTTTGGCCTGCACGTGGCCAGAGTTTTATCCTAAGCCTAAATGTGCTGCTTCCCTCACAGCTTCAGTTCAAATCTTGTCTAAAAGCCACACCTAAAAACGGAATCACACCAAGCAGTGTTTTATGCACAGCCCAGATGAAAGGTTGCTTTTCTCCTCTCCTTCACAGCGTCTCTCTCGGGCATTTAGTGCTCATTTGCCTTTCTGACCAAAGATCCTTTAATCAAAGGAATACAGATCCTCAATTACACTTCTCAGATAATCAGAGCTTTCATGGCTTTCTCCCTGAGAAAGTTTCCACACAAGCTGACCTTGTCCCTGTGATCCCGCGTCAGGAGGGAACCTCAGCTCCACAATTCTCAATGAAGCAGCAGGAGCTCTTTTTGAAGAGTTTATAACCACTATCAAAGTTTTATTCTGCAGCCCAGTATTTGTATATAAACACCCCAAAAAGGATTGCAAAGCCCTCAATGGCTTCTACTCTTCAGATCTGCTACGTTTAGACTCATTTCTCGCACAACTGCTGCACTAACCTCCCCAGAGTGACATTTTCAGTGCTGCTGCTTTGGCTGAGTGAGATCCAGAGGATGTGAGAGCCAAGAGCATCACCATCACCCCAGGTACCACGTCCTTGCCTCCCAGCATGTGCATTTTGGGTTCAGAAACACAGAAAGACTTCAGGACAGCGCTGCATCAGAAGATCAGTGCTCGAGCTACAGCACCACGAGGAAACAGAACTGTCCCAAGGGGCCCTTCCTAAAAGGTGCCACTTGCAACAAAAACCACCCAAACCACAGCTGGGCGGCTTGAGAGCTCTGGCCCTGCCTGCAGCACGGGCACAAAGCGCCTTCAAAACGCAGAGAACACTTAAACTGCTCCCATTCGTGCTGCTGGGGCGTTACAAACATTTCAGCAGCCCTGAATTTCCCAGCTCCTACTGCAGAACGAACTGCCAAGCACTCCTTGGGCTCAGCGCGACGAGGTCCCTTTTCCACCAACACCTTCAGCTCCTGCTGTACATTCTCAGCCCATTCTCACTGTCACAAAGCCGGCCGTGCCAGCCCTGTGCAAAACGCATCTGCAAAGGGCTCCGAGCGCGGGAGGTGCCACAGCCGCTGGCGGAGCCGCGGGCAGCCGGGGCCGCGGCCGCTCACCGGAGAGCCCCGAGCCCCCCGAGGACGCAGGCACTGACCGTCATCGGCGGGGAGGCCGCTCCTCAGGGCCCGCGCGTCCTCGCGGGGCCCGGTGGCGATGCCCGGCGGGGCAGGGCCGGGGCCCGGCGGCCGCGCAGGGGACGAGCCCGGCGGCCGCCCGCCCGCCGCCGCTGCCCTACCTTTCCGCCTGAAGAAGGACATAGCGCCGGGGAGGGGGGCGAGGCGGCGGCGGGGCGGGGGGAGGCGGGAGGGGGGGAAGGCAGCGCGCCGGGCCCTATGAATGAGGCAGCCGCGCCCGCCCGCCGCCGCCGCTCCCTCCGCCTCTTCCTCCCGCGGCGGCGCCCGCGGCCGCCATGTTGTCAACACCGGCCCCGCGCCCGCTTCCGGCAGCGCCGCCCGCGCGGCACGGCGGGATGCGGCCGCACTCAACATGGCGGCCCCGGCTTCACACCCACAGCACAACGGGGGCCGGGCGGGGCCGCCATGTTGGGTGAGGGCAAGAAGCCCGCTGGGGTCTAGGGCGGCGGGGCGGCCATCTTTGATCGGGGCGGGGGGCGCCGGGCGGCGTGAGGCGCCAGCCGCCATCTTGGC